CAAAACCTTCCTTTAACTACTTCCTTCTTCTACCTAACTTTTATTTCGCTCATGCTGAAAATTTGCGTTTTATCAGGAAAACGAAGTGAGGTTTATATAAAAAGTACCTTAATTTAAAATAACGGGTTAGAAAATTAGACGATACACTACATATTTAAAAAAAAAAAAACTCTTTTTATGAATTTCTATAGTCCAATATCATGCATTCTGTTTCACAAATCTGATTTCATACTTGTCAAACTTTCGTATCTATGGCGTAACTAAGAGACTTATCTATTACAATGCACCGCGCCGTATCTCTTATATATACGAGTAGAAAAGATGTATGAAAAGTCATCAGAATATCATTAAGTGAGTGTATTCTCCGTAATTGGATACTTACTTATCTCTTGAACGTTCCACAAAGCCGATTAATGAATTTTCGAAGGTTTTATTTTTAGATAAGAGACAGTCTGGGGCAAGGAAAAGAAAAAAAAATAATCACCTCTTTTAATAGTTTGCGCTTCACAATTTTTGCTGAAAAGTAAAATCACGGTCGAGATGCTGTATATAAAAAGAAAAACTTTTTCCTGAAGTCCTTTTTATTAAAGTTTTCATTACCTTGAAAGAAATTGTGACGCATTCTTAGGCCTCGGTGATTAGATTGGAGCAGTCTTCATGGATGAGGTTGTAACTCAATTAAAATTAGCATTCGCTGTTTTCAGTTTAATTGGTTCGTGGCTTGCGATCTTATTAAACGAGATGATTAACAGCGCATACTTTTATAAGTTCATGTTAAGCAAAAGCAGTATGAAGATTTTTATTATTATGTTGAATTATAAAATTAATAATGATCCGTTTAAATATTCAATGAGCCATTGGATAAATCTAGACAGCAGTATTACTTCTCGCGGCTTAGACTGCCAATGTTAAAGCTGGCTACATGTATCGTGTTTTTCGCAGTTTTCTTTATTCATAAGGGCATTCTGAGTTTCTATAAAACGAAAGCATATTCTTTTAATACAGAGATGAGTGGCTTTAGCACTCTACATTTTACTTACGTAGCATTCAATAATAAGAATTATTAGGGCCGCCTAACCGGGATATACTAGTATGTATAATTGTAATATGGTTTCAGCATTGTAAATATAATAACTGTCTTTGCGTACTACAGCCTGAGTAAAAACTTTAAGGCCAGTCAAAAGTTTTGAGAAAATGTAAACTGAAATAAAAGGGATTCAAATAATATTAATTATTAAAGTTCGTTGATAAGAAATAAATGCTATAAACATAATTTGTAAGTACATAATTATGAGAAACATGTGGTTATTTACATAGTGTTTCTGTCTGAGTAAAATCTTTAAGGCCACCAGTCATTTTTTAAAAATAAATATAATATAATCGTGTAATTACCATTGCAACTACTAGCTTGTGACAACGCTGCGATTTTCATATTTATCATACGTTTCTTCGAAGTATTGGTGATCTTTGTAAAGATGGCGAATGGTAAGAAGTTAATTGATCGTGAAAGAGGAGAGATCGAAGCTTTGTCTTCAACAGGAATGAGTAGTCGTGCTATTGCGATAAAGATAGGAAGATCAAAGTTTGAAGTCAACAATTTTTTGAAATTGGAAGACAATTATGGTAAAAAGAACACTGGGAGAAGACCTAAAGCTTTGTCCTCGCGTGATGAAAGAAGAGTTTGCCAACTTGTATCTACTGGAAAGTACTCAACCAGGAAACTGATTCAGACGACAGGTTTAAAAGTTTGTCAAAAAACGATTTATAACACAATTAGAAGGTCTGGAAGGTTCATTTATACAGCAAAATTGACTAAGCCTCAGTTACTGCAGAGACAAAAAATAGAGCGTTAGAACTTTGGCTAGAAAGTCATGACCTGGGGCAACCAGAGGATAGGAATTATTTTTTTCTGAAGAAAAAAAAAAATGGAATTCGGATGGACCAGATGGCTGGAATTTCTACTGGCATGATATAAGAAATGAAAAAGAAATATTCTCCAAGCGCCAATTAGGTGGAGGGTCTGTCATGACTTGGGGCTGTTTTGCTTACATTGGTGTGAACTCAATTGCATTCGTTTCAGGTAGAATGAATTCACAAGGATACCAAAATGTCCTAACAAATCATCTTTTGCCAAATGCTGAATGTCTTGCTGGTTAAAATTGGAAATATTGTAGAGACATTATTTCGAAGCAGACAAGATGAAAAATATGCAACTGCCTTCGCCCGGGAATCGAACCACGGACCTCTGGAATACTGGCCCAGCGAGCTACCGTTACACCACGAAGACACGCTAGGGAAGTGGGAGAAATGCCTTATGTACTCCCCTTTTTAAAGGGGGACTAGGGTTTTAGGGAACCTAGTCGCCAAATCCTGGGTGCGGAGAATCATCATCCACAACCCTTTTAGTTCGGGCGCCACTTGTAGAGACATTACGTTACTTCGAAGCAGATAAGATGAAAAATATGCAACCGCCTTCGCCGGGAATCGAACCACGGACCTCTGGAATACTGGCCCAGCGTGCTACCACGAAGACACGCTAGGGAAGTCAGAGAAATACCTTATAATATTAGCAAGACAATGCATCGATCCATTCGAGTAACAGCACAAAAAAATTGGTTCTAAGTCAGCAATGTTGAAACTGTGAAATGGCCAGCTAGATCACCTGACCTCAACCCAATCGAGAACCTTTGGGGTGACTTAGCAAGAAGAGTTGATGCAAATGGGAGACATTTTACATCAACAACAGAGCTGAAATCTACTATCGAAGATGAATGGTAAAAAACCGACCCCATCCTTTGTCAAAAACTCGTTTCATCCATGAAAACAAGAATATTTGAAGTAATTCGAAGAAATGGCTCCTACACAACCTTCTAAGAATTTGTAATTTTTTTCTTATATGTTATTTTATATGTAGGCCTTAAAGGTTTTACTCAGGCTCAAATGTTCATCTGTGTGTTCTGTAATATTTTCTAATAATAAAATATTTGCAAATTAATTTTTCTACTTTTTTTACTTTTATTTAAGCTCAATAATTATCAATCAAATGGTATTTTAACTCCTTAGTTTAAACGTTTCCATTTTCTCAAAACTTATACTGGCCTTAAAGTTTTTACTCAGGCTTTATTATCATTCTAACTGCTGTAAGTGCAAAGTCATAAATGATCCATGTGAGAATAAGACGTATTGTATTAAAAGATTAGTGTAATATAACACGAGTAGCAAATAATATAATGTTAAATATTACGCTAAATGGAATCATATTATCGTATCTATAATTATGCTACATATTATAATACATACATGTCATAATATATGTACTAGTTATGAAAAATAATTGATTTTTACGGACGATTATGAACTAACATTGAATTATTGTGGTTATTTTACGTTTATATGCCATAATATAAATATATGATGTGGACTATTTATATTAGTATGGACTATTAAGGTCTATTATGTACTATTATGGACATTAACTGAACTGCATGAAGCTAGTACAACTGATATGGGAAATGGACAATGGATACTATATTAGAGAATGAGATTTATTAGTCTTGCGCAAAATTAACAATCGGACATTGAAAACTAACCACGATTAATAGACACTATCTATGCTTGAAATAAAAAATTACAAGTGCAATACTTATACAGCAATGGACATTTAATATTGATATCCAAGACTTGATATGTATTTACATTAATATGTAAAATTTAAATATTAGAATCGCGTAGCCCTCTAAGTGCAAAGATATAACACGACTACTAGTGACTATGTAAACACTCTAACTATGCAAACTTATTGAAATTTATCAATAAATGCACCGATCAGGCATCATTTCTGTTTGTATATTACTTAGGTTTAGAAGCCTGGTCGGTGGTGTAAGGTGTAAATTGGTTAGTGACTGTAATTGCCGCAACCAACAGGGTTCGAAATCCCGAGAAGGCGTGGATGTTTGCAAATGTATAGTGGCACTCAAAATATACGGCGAGCCAAACTTTCTCTTGAGAGGTTGGTTAGTGGTAGGGAAACAGGAGGGGGCAGACCCCTCTGATTCGTATTTTTGTATAATATAACATAAAATACTTGAAAGAGTCGAAGCTCTGCCGTAAAAATAAGGTTACGGGTGGGGCAAGTCTGTTTAACATTGAATGGATAGCTGTCTCGCTAAATTGGCGACTTATCGCCAAGTTGGCGATGGTCGATGGTTTCGCCAACTAAATTTTGCTCCAAAGTTGTCGAGAAATTGCCAAACGTTACAAAACTTGGCGACATTTTGGTTCAGTCCTTGTGCGCTTATAATTGGTTTTGTAATTGAATAAATGTAATTGATTCCTATATGTAACTGTAAACGTATCCGGCCCTCATATGCCTTCCACTATTTTCTAGAAGTGGTAAATATTAGAGATTTTTCGGCGACTGGGGGGGGGACTATATAAAACCATAGAGAGTGTCAGTTTCTCTCTTATTTAGGGCATACTTCGGGGTATTGAGATATCCGTAAGAACTTCACCTTTTAGATGCACTGTGCATTGCCTTGTGTTTAACGTTCTTATCAGTTTGGAGTTCAACTACTAACTGTGTTCTGGGATATTGAGAAGAGCTGCACGAATGCTTTTGTGGAAAGTTCTAGAACTGTGAAGTGTTTCTTTTGGTAAAAATAAATTTTATCAAGCTATCCTTGGTTTTATGCGGCCGTCATGTACACAGCAAAATGTTGTTATTAATGTTAATAAAACATTTAAGTTCCTGATAGCTAAATTTACAATTTGAAAATACTATAATAACACATTACGTTTAGTTGGACAAATACGTTAAATGTAAAATTGAAAATTTCATTTAACGTATTTGTCCAACTAAACGTACCAAGACGACGAGCTAAGTATTTTGTTATCCTTTAATAACACTTGGGATTTCAGAAAAAGATTCTAAAATGAACTTTTAAGTAAACATAAAATTTTCTAAATAAATTATATGTATTTTTGACTATCCACATTTTCAGGGTTTGGAGATCCGGATGACAACTGCCCTCGGGTCACGAATCCAGATCAGTTGGACAGCGACGGAGACGGGCTTGGCGATGTTTGTGATAACTGTCCTTTTGTCGCTAACCCAAGTCAAGTAAGTAATCAAAGTTATATGGGATTTTATAGGCAATGTAAATGATAGCATGATCATCATCCATTCCATCCTTCACGAACACCAAACATCCTTGTTGCAGCACGATTTCCATTTTCCTATTCTTGCCCCAAATTCTGTTCACCTTTTCTAAAAACCCTAGAATAACATTCTTGTGAACATCTGCATTGAATACAACCCACTCCTTTTGCAGAATTATTTACTCCCTCAAGCATTTCTCCCCAACCACGAATTGTTCCCCTTATCGCTTGTCAGTTCAGTACCTGGGAAAAATCTTCGAATGGATGGCTTCAAAATATAAGAGCATCGCACGTGTATCTTTGAAGATTCTTCGTAAATGAAAAGGTGGGCGTTATACGTAGGAATATACGGTATTTAGTTAATTTAAAATGTGAATAAAAATAAGAGCGAAAACTGCTATTTGTTTTTGGTTGTTTATATCTATTAAAATGAGACTTATTATTGCACACTTTTTTTAAAAAACTAGAAGATATATGCCTCTACAGTGCATAACAAAGTAATACTAGTAACAAAATATATGACGGATTATATATTTTATGCTTAAGGATAGGTAATTTATTACGGCAGTTTATTAACATGGCAGTCGATAATTTATTAAGTTTTTAAAATAAATTCTAAAAATATATTTGAATGAAAAATATTAATAAAATATGAAGGCAAAATTTCAAACATATGTCTCGAAGAAAGTGTTTTGCTTTGTTCGAAAATTCTCTAAGTAAAAAGCTACAGCTAAAAAAACCCACACAATTGTTTGTACAAATAAAAACTTGCGGCGAAAAAAACTAATATAATAAATTAAATTTGCTTTCTTCCGTCTTCTTATATTTTATTGATCGTAGAATGAATTTATCCAGCTAGTCCGGGAATGGTTGTCACTCTAGAATTTACTTAAGTTTTAAACAACATTTATTTTAGATTTTCTTAAAACGTTCCTTTTCCATTTAGATAGGTTTTTCCAAATAGTTCAATAGATTATGTTTACATACAAAATAAAGTAAACTAAAATGAAACAAATATTATAAATTTTACATTGCTAAGTTTATGAATTTTTATTCGTGCTTTGAATGAATTCAAGGACTATTATTTTCAACAGAGGGTGAAACGTGTGATTTAAATATGCGTGAATGGCTACTATGTTTTTACGTCAAAAACTAAGGTTTCTTATTTTTTCTGGAAGCTAAATCGAATCGAAAAATAGTAAAAATTTCCTTTAAGAGCTTAAACTCTTCTCTGGCTTGTTATAGATTTCTCTAGCTCTAGCTTCTCTAGCTATTTGATAGAAACTAGTTATTCATCATCTATGCCAAACCGAAATAGAGGTAACTAATTATGCTGAAACATAGATAAGACGAGCCAGGTTTAGTTGCTTGGAAAATAAAATTCGGTGAAGTATTTCTGAGGAAATATTATTCATGACTCAAGGGAGTATGAACTTTTAAGACGCTCATTCAGTATAGTATTCAGTGACTCTGACTGCCATACCGGAGGCCCCGGGTTCGAATATCGGAGAAGGCATGGATGTTTATAATTGGATACCGTCTGTGAAGCATGGGGACACTAAAATATGCTCTGAGCCAAAAGTACTCTCGAGAGGTAGCTGGTAGGGAAGAGAGGTGAAGACCGTTGGAACCGCCCGGCCCGTGGTACACTCCCTCAAAATTGGGGGGGGGGAACTTAGCTAAAGTCATGCTGTCACCTAGTACTCAAATATGGTATTCAAGACTCATGCCAACAATAGGCGCATTTGACCCCATGCTGCGATGAATGTCGTAGGTATGTGCTGACCGTTGTCGGGCAATTGAGATAGGTAACAACAACAAGAGCATACTATCCAGCACACTGTATAGCTATTACATATTGTTGCGTTTTTCTTTTCTGACACCAGTTGTTACGTTATTATCTTCCTTCACGTTCATACGGGGTTTGTATGGATTTGGAGTGAATGTATCAGGTTCAATGTTTCTTCTTACCTTCTTCGGAAACATACAATGACCTGACTAGAACAGAGAGCTTACTAAAGCTATGTTCACTAATTGTAGTAAGTAGACAGGATACAGACGAAGGGTATACAAAACCCTTTATTTTTTCTTTATATACAATGACTTCCGTACTTCGGAATACAATGACCCTCCACTCGGGGTCTAACTTAAAAGATATCAAAATAAAACTAAACTCTAATTTAACTTTAGAATAAGATTGGCCTTATAATAACAGGAAGCGTATGTAGCACAGAGACTGTGAACACTACAATACGTTTAATTATCAAGAGGATTAAAACCTCTGGCCTGGAAGGCAAAGTAGCAACTGCGTAACTTCTAAGGTAAGCGGCCTGCTTCGAACTCACGGCTTCCTCTCTCTGCTTGGCAAAAAGGCCACACTTAAATACTTGGCGTTCGCCAGACAACTTTGCATAAACTCCTTCACGCTTATAATTCTGGCCGGAAGTAGAAAATAAGAAGTGATAGTAAAGATTTAAAATAAAATAAACGTTAGTAAAACTTAAGATCCTTACATACTTCCCGCCAGAGTTAATTAGTTTGAAACTGAGGTCTAAAACGACCTTGTTGAAAACTTTTAGCTCTAGAATCTAAATCTAACGCGAGGCCAATCTTTTACAACAAACTTAGCCTAGAAACTAGAAAATTTCTAAAAGAAAGAAATTTGTTACAATAGCAGCTCCCGGAATATACAACATCATCTCCATGGACAAATAACTTTTCATCTGTACTGCATCCTAAAAACAGGAGCTTTATTCTAATTTCAGTCTGGTTCCTTCCAGAGATCTGGAAGGAAAACTAGTTTAATGAAATTGTTACAGAATGACAATGGCAAGTAACATGATACACGAATATACTTTCTCTTTAAAACTCTATACTTATTTCATTCATGACTATTTTTAATTATCTCTCCCCGTGCTCTCTGACATGTGTTGTAAAGAGAAACACCAAACACGAATGCGTGTTTCTGTACTATGTGTTCACACTACTTCCTCCTACAATCAAAACACTAATGTGTTAAAATTCAACATACGAGACCTCTTAACACACCCTAATTTCAACTCTAGACCCTGAGGTACTATTCTGAAAGTGGCTAACTCTAAAGTGTAGCGTCAGAGAGCCTAACTACATCATTCAACCTTTAACACATATTCACCATGATTTAATCTTTACAGTCACACGAATAACAAATTTTTTAACATTACTTTCACTTTTATCATATCACGGTATTTCTAAACATTCAAAATAACAGTTCACATGTATACAAGAACATATGAAGATGCCGTTAATTTTACACATTTGAAAACATACATTAGTAGTACATTGTTAACTTCTATTCTTTTCAAAGCAAGTGCCAATTCTTTCTACATTGAAATAATACTACATTTCAAAAAGTCTTTCAGACTAAAACTTCTTTCTTGTTAGAATGTTTTAAATAAAATTTATACAATAACTTTTTACAATATTTAAGTCTTATACAACGCTATTATACATCAACTTTAGTTTTACGCGCGAGTAATTGAAAAACATAATAAGAAAATCGGTCACAACTCATTTCTCGCCCTTTTGGCGATAAAGGTAGACCTCGCATGAGGTAAAACTTCTTCAAATCTGCCACTTGCAGTAAGAATGAAAGATTAACTTAAGTTTGTAAAGTAACACAAAATTTTACTTATCTTTGTAATATTCAGACATCCTTTTCTGGGCCCAGTCTTTAAAGGTGCTGCAGACCGTTGCTTGGTTGATCCTCCTTCTTGTACGGGCTCGCCCTTCAGTGCTTTCCTCTGGAAGCTTCCGTTTTTTCACCACCACTACGGCCACCCTTGAACATCTTCCTTCTGTCCTCTGCTTGTGGTCTTGGCCGTTTGAAGGCAGCTGGTCTTGGTGGAACCGGGAAACTTCTGTCGTGATCCTGCTTGGACCTCGTTGTTGGCCGTTCAAATTTTCTTGTACTTTTTCCTCCGCCGCTGATGGCCCTTCCGCAGTTCGGCGACTTTTGCTGCGGAGAGTTCTGTCGGATGAGTCAATCTTCCGTTTCACAGCCGGGTTATAGCCGGGTTATAGTTGCCGTCCTTTTCTCCGGTCTTTTCCACATACGTCGTCCTTCTCCCTTCTTCATTCTGGGGGTGTTCGTGAACTCTGTTTTTGGACGGTGGAACGGCTTCTTTTCTTTGTACCTTCAATTTTTCCGCGGGGCAATTTTCTTTTCACTTGCTTCTGTCTCTCATGGGCTTGCCCTTGTTACTTGTCGTTTTCCCACCTCTGGAACTTGTACCTGCGGTGTCTGCCGTCCCGGATCCTGCAAAAGATCTGAAAAGATTTGCATTTTATTACGATCATAGAATGGTTTATTGGTCAATGTTTGCGGAAAAGGTTTCACCATTTCTTGCCTTTAATACTACAACAGCGTGAGTTATTTTTTCTATAACATATGGTCCTTCAAAGCGTGGGAAAAATTTGGCAGTTTTATCTTCTGGTGCTGAAGAAAGTGAATGCTTAATTTTTAGTACTTCATCCCCTACTTTATAAGTTACTCCCCGTCGTTTCAAGTCATAATACAATTTTGTTTTCTTTGTGCTACTTCTGTATTCTTTTTGCTTCTTTTATTAGTTTTTCTATATCACCCATTTTAAATTCTGGGGCTCTTTGTTGCACATAAAATAGTTTATCTAACGGTGTTTATAACCTTTCTGCCTAGAAATAACTCAGCAGGAGTTTTGCCCGTTGTATCATGTTTTGCGGTCCTAAGGGCGAAAGCAAATTCATTGACATAGTTATCCCAGCTTTTATGAAAATTTTTAACATAACTACGGATAATTTTTCACTATATTTCTGTTGACCCGTTCCGCTATATTTGATTGCGGCCGATACGGGACCATTTTTAAATGACGTATGCCCAGTTTTTGGCACATGTCTTCAAATATATTACTTACAAATTGAGGACCATTATCCGATATAAACTTT